AGTGGAAGATGTGTTAGTTCGGGTGGATAACTTCGTATTTCCTGTAGATTTTATAGTGATAAATATGGAGGAAAACAAGGAGGTCCCCCTCATCCTAGGAAGACCATTCTTAGCAACAGGTAGAGCTATATTAGATATACACGAAAGAAAACTCATGCTTAGAGTAGGTGAGGATACCGTGACTTTTAAGATGGATGTAGCAAAGGGGGCACAAAAGGACAAACCAACTGCAAGTGTTGAGTGAAAAGTAAAGGGCTCGAAAGAGAAGGTTGCGGTGAGCGAGAAAGATATGTGTGTGGTGTATCTAAATAAGGTTTCTAAGAAGGTATTTGCATGGATGTGTGCATTAGTTCGGGCTCGAGGAATGGAGCCCGACTTTGACTCAGACCCCAACTAGATGTTCAGGGATGTTTTCTTTACCTTATGCTTTTTAATTGTGTGCCATAGGGACATGCCACAACTTAAAGTGTGGGATGAGGGATATTTGTATGTATGTATGCATATTAGTTTTCTTTTCGCTAGTTGTAGGAGTTGGATATAGAACTAGTAAATAAAATTGAAGTTTTCGATTTTTTCCGAAGATGGATATCATCGACAGGTTTTTTGAGGGATTAAAGTCGAAGGAAAAAGAAATAAAATATTTTCTTTTGTTTTTTTTTAATATTTTTTTCCTTCTTTTGTTAGTTAATCTAATGATTTCCCCTTGGTTTTTCTTTGTGCCGCAATTCTTTTTCAAGGGTTTTTACTTGAACCGGGTGTAGTTAGTTCTATTTTTTCCTTAGGAGTAGAAAATATTGTGTCATTGGGATAGATGAAAGCAATATATCATGACTTTATTATGCTTGAGAATAGTAAGTGCTTTAGTTGTGACGCTTAGGGTCAATTTTTAACTCTTGTATAAGTACCTTAAATTGTATGATCTTAACTTTGCTTAACTACTTTGACTAGAGTGTCTTGATGAGTCTGGTCCTAAATGTGTTATGTTCCAGGTGTATGTGAGGTTTTGTGTTTTTATGTGCATGTCGGTTGATGTCTAGAACTTGCCCTGTGTGTTTGCAAAGTGAAATAGTAATTTTATTCAGTCCTGGAAGTAATATAGGCATTTCCTTGTTGAGCCAATTATATGCTTTTACCCACCTAATTGTTATGTATCTTAGTTAACTCCTTTGAGCCTATAATCTTGTTTCTTTGGTAACCACATTACAAGCCTTACCCATTTGTTTGGATTGACCATCTATTTTAACCTTTTACCTCTCGTGAGCACTTGAATTTGTTATGAAATTTGTAAAAGTAAAGTGTGGGCTGTTAGTTTGGCTTTTGAGTGGAACTATAGAAATAGGAGAAAGGTACATTATTATGAAAAGGTAAGAGCCACTTGAATTGAAAAAGAAAAGAAAAATAAAGTAGTCATATTATTGTGAAAAATATTCCTTGATAGTGGTAACTCTTGAGGTATTTGTGCTTAAAGAAGTTGATAGTTGACGTATATTGATATGAAAGTGAATTTACGATTTGACAAAAGTGTGGGGTTTTGAATGGTTAATTGCATGTATTAAATTGCTTAGGGAGGTGTGTGTGTGTGTGTGTATTCCCGCATCCTACATTACAACCAAATAAAGACAAATAAAGTCCTAAATTGATCCTTGACTGAATGAGCTCAATTAGTAGAGTATTACACTATGGGCGAGCCTATGGTGCGTCTCTTGTGACATATGAATGTTATTTCTTAGAGTGAGCAAATTCTTTCTATCTGAGTTCCTAATTGTTCTTACATTTTATCATGTGTGGAAATACTCTCTATTGTTGTGTGAGGGCACTTGATTCACGAAAGGAAAGGTAATGTTGTTGACCTCTATGTTAGTGTAAGTGAGCTGGTTGTGAAAATGCGTGGTGCTTTTGAGTCAAATCTTGAGGCAAGGATGTTATGTTAGAGTGGTTAGTCTTTCTAAATATTCTTGGTATGATGAGTTAAGAGAGTCGTTTAAAAAGGTCGTCTCAATGCGAAGTGCAGTTTGACTGCTCGAGGACAAGAATGGTTTAAATGTGGGGTGTTGATGGAGGCTAGAATCCCGTTTTTTAGGACTAGTTTACACTCTAATTACTGTATTTTACTTGTGTTTGATCTTAAAAGATGGTAATTTGCACTTATTACGTGTTTTATGCTTAGTAGGAGTTGATTCCGAGTTAAGAAGATGTTCTGGAGCTAAATCGAATAATTTGGAGCTTTGAAGTCTGAGTAAAAGCTCAATAATTAAATCGGGATCGCGTATGGTGCTCATGGACCGGCACTGCATAAGAAAGTCTGAAGAAAGCGCAAGGGCTACTACATTTGTACTAATGTTTCACACAATGCGTAACACAGTGCGACGCATCAGTGCAAATGTGCGTCAAAAATTTGAGAAGTTCAGAGAATTGTAGTTTTGGGGTTTGACAGAAAAAATATACTAATGAATGGCCAGCTATTCTCTTCCATCACCAATAGCCAAAAGGTTCTCGTTTAATTTAGTTTTGTAGTAATCATCTTTCTTCTTCTTCTCCTTAGAAATAAAATGGTAGTAAACTATCTTACTCGTATTTGACAGGCTAGAAGGTAAAGTAGCACTAATAACTGGTGGAGCTAGCGGCATAGGAGCAGCCACAGCTAGGCTATTTGTTCAACATGGTGCAAAGGTTACAATTGCAGACATTCAGGACAAGCTCGGAACTTCCTTAGCACAAGAAATTGGCACAGAACACGCAGCCTTTGTCCACTGCAATGTTGCTGTTGAATCAGACGTTCAAAATGTTGTAGATGCAACAATTGCCAAATTTGGTAAGCTCGACATAATGTTCAGTAATGCTGGTATAGGAGGTAAGCCAATTTCTAGCATCTTAGAAGTCGATTACGACATAATTAAGACCGTGTTCGATGTAAACATTGTTGGCGCCTTCTTTTGCGCTAAACATGCTGCTAGAGTGATGATTCCGGCTAAAAAAGGTTCCATTATATTCACTGCAAGTGCTGCGACTGTGGTCTCTGGTCTAGTCCCGCACGCATATTCTGCATCAAAAGGTGCAGTTTTGGGACATTCCAAGAACATTGGAGTCGAATTAGGGAAGTATGGAATAAAAGTTAATTGTGTTTCTCCTCATTACATTAGCACACAACTTGTATTGAATGCGCTTGGAATAGCTGACAGACAAATGGCGGACAAATGGTTGCAGGAGGAGGAAATTTGAAAGGAGCTTTACTAGATGAAGAGGAGGTGGCAAAAGCAGTGCTATATTTGGCAAGTGATGATTCCAAATATGTGAGTGGAATGAATCTCGTTCTTGATGGTGGTTTTAGCACCACAAATGTGGCTTTAACAGCGGCCTACAACAAATTGTTCCCATCCGAAAGTACCCATCAGACTACCGACGGAGCTAGTAGTGTTGATTTTTTCAAAATGAGTGGGAATGAATAAAGAGAGACCAACTTCAAATGATTGATATCAGATCCCTTGACTGAAATCTTCCCATTGTGCAAATTATGTTAAGTAAGGAATAAGAAGGCCAATGATATCAATTGAAGTAGTAGTAGTTTTTATTTCGGACTAAGTTTGAAGTTTGATGCATACTTTTCCTATTTTTAATTTGTTTTTACTTTTCAATTAGAGAATTCCTATCTTAAAACGAGAGAGAGAGAGTCCTGAAATGGAGCTACATCAGGAATTGAATAATGGAGGTTGGGAGTGTGAAATGAGAGAAAAGATAATAGAAAACTCTCATTGACTTGGTGATGAACCATGTACACAACTATTAGAGAAGTTGTATTCTATGTATTGCATAACCAACACTACTTATGCGAGAGATTTTTTATTTTATTTCATGAGAAGTAGATTCATGGACCTACTTGATTTAAAACATAAAACCAAAAAGGTAATCTCAAGTCCAAAATTCATCCTAATTAAGTTAATTAAATGACCAAAAAAAGCAAGAGTGCCAAGCTAGGCATCGCCGCACCAGCAAAAAAACAGTAAGCAAATGGTCTATAGATGATTTTAAAAGCCAAGCAATAAGTGAGTTCTGGACATTAAAAAAAGGAGCACACCCTCTACAATTTCTTTTCAAGTGGTAGTTGTAAGTTTAAGTGTTTAACCACCACCAGGCTATCTACGGCATATATCAAAATGCAATTTGCACCATTCACTGGTAATACTTAAAATTATAAGAATGTACAAACGTTAGATGATCTTCCAGACCGATGGGCCAAGTATATATCCCTCCACAGTCAGCAGAAAGGATCTTTTCGTGATTTTGGCATCACCCATCTCACCCGAAACAATCTGCAGAAATAGTCACAACTAGCAGCCATTGAACATTGTAACCGTAGAGTGAAACATGCATCATGCATAAAGCAAAGCTACTTTGTATTGGCCCTTTTGTCTTCGAAATCATTTTCCAGTGAAGCTTCACTCTTACATATCACATTTCGAAGTAGAGGTTCTGAGAGTGCCCTGACTTGCCCAATTTCATTTTGAGATGAGCCGTGTTTTCTACCTGTTGAAGCAGTTAGTCATGAAAATACCACAGGCCGTTCATTCCTAATTCCTTCAGGCTTAAGCTAACATGGTTGCTTTATCTTGGCCACGAAACTAAGACTTCTAACTAGAAATCTATTACTTTAAGGAAAGAAATAAGGTTGCCATCACTTATATCTTTCCCTTTTTACTGTATTTTTATAATATACACAACTGAATAAAGATGAGAGTTCTCATCTCACATCAAAGCAGTAGATAACTTTGCAGATGGAAACAAAATTGCTAACATGCAGCCCAGAAACATAATGTTAAATATACCAGAGGGATGAGGGACCTGAAGAGATCACTATATTGCTTTTGCTAGAATTCTACAATATGTTATACTCAAGCAGTAGGCACAGGTTGTCCTCAAAGGGAAATGATACAAGAGCATTCCTAAATTGAACAATCCACCAATACAAGGCGTGGAAATCCTTTTTCCTGCTGACATGGCCATCCAATCCAGAATCTCCTAGTATTTTTATTTTTTTTTAACTGATAACATTTGTATATATTAATAAAATCAGTACATTGGTTATACTGAAAACCATATTTACAGGTAAGTACAAATAAGAAAACTGGTATGTTAGCAAGACCCTAGAATATCTAAGATTGACACAATATCTTCTGTGTAAATCTGTTTACACCAAAAACAAAAGAGTGGAACACAACTAAGCTTGATCTTCTGCACTGAGTTGCTTCTGTCCTACAAAAATCTAGAATTCCTCTCTTTCCAGACTGTCCACCAGATACATGCTGGGACAGTCCTCCATCTATCTCTGTTTGTTATTTTAGCTCCAGCTTCATCCCAACTGAAAAGAACTTCAATAATTGTATAGGCAAGCATTGTCCATGAAATACCCCTGAGACTAAGAAAGATTTTCCATAGTTGGTCCGTTATCTTGTAATGTAAAAATAGATGGCTAATTGTCTCAGCATCTTGAGCACAATGAGATCCCTCTCTTTATGAGATTATCTTGGGTTAAAACAGCCTCCTTTGCTAGTAGCCAAGTGAAACAAGCTACCTTGTAGGGAATCTTGATTCTCCAAGTATTGATAATATAGTCTTGGTTTCCATGTAAGCAATAACCATCACAAGAATAGTTGGTTATCTTTTAGAGCATTGATGCATATTATGACCACAACAGATCATTTCAAAATGAAAAATACCACAACTTGGTATGATGGATAAGCAAAAATAATCCTGGAATAAAAATTTAGTACCGACTCATTCTTTGTTTGGTTACTAATCTCAGTATAAATAATCCCAACATAACTAATCCCAGCATAACATGTATTCAAACCAAACAACAAGGATATTGGCAAATACGGTAATAAATATCTCTTCTCAAGGAATATGGTGCCTCTGAGTTTAATTTTTATAAAGACAGGCATTGGGAACTGTAGCACAAGAAATTGGAGATAATTGCAAAAAACGATATGAAACCCACCATTTTCGGTTGTTTTAGTAGTTGAGTCACTTGCAAAAACACAAAAAAGAAATAAATCAAGTATAAGGTGGGAAGAGTTTTTAGTTGAAAAACAAGGTGGGAGAAATTTTAAATTATGTACTATAAGTGATATGAAAAGACAGGCTCAAACTAAGCTATAGGCATTGAAAAATAGCTTGAGGTCATACTTTGTTTATTTTGCAACACATGATAAGTAAGAACATTAAAATCTCACAATTGATATGGTTGTGGATGGCTGAAGGAATTATGAGAAACAAAAGTGTCTTCTTCGACATGCGAAAGATTGCAACATGGCTCCTTGTATTTTTTTCTCTTGGATGATGGTTTCTATAGGTACACCAAGTAGCTTCTAACACTTTCCTTGTTATTTTGCACTTCAACTCCTTGTTCACATGAGTCCTTCAACAACCACAACCATACAAAAGGAAGATTGTTCCAAAATAATTATTGGTCGAATACCTAATACCTTAATTTAAATGTGAGAGCACACAATTTTTGCATCAAAGACAACGGCATGTTGTGACTTTTCTTTGATACTCTAATGTTTTGTCCATGATCAAGAAGCTAACCACAATAACAATAAAAATAACAAGATGCAGCGTGAAAAAGTGTAAGCTTGATACATCGTAGTTAATCCGAACAATGCATGGATCTTATACTTCAACTACGCTGCAAATATTATACAAACATCTGAAACCTTGCTTTCTTATTCTACAACACTTGAGGACAAGAAAATTCTAGTCCCAAAATTAACATGGTTATGGATCGCAGAAGGTTTTATTTGAAACATAAAGCGTTCATTAAATATCAAACTGCTGTTGCCCTTATTTGATAATTGATTCCATCAAAAGAGCATGTATACTCGCCTCCCGTGTTTCACACAAAAACCTCTGCAACCCACAACCATGTAAAATGCTGAAAAATAAAGAAAGCAAGTTCCTGAAAAATGTATTACATATATTTTAAAAAAACACTCCAACTTTTACAAAAAGGATCAAAATATTCGATATATCAACGCAATTTGGAGTTCAACAAATCTTAAGAAATGATAAAAAAGTTTGTGGCTAGCACAACCAGATTTGGCTTAAATTTGCACAGAAAAATTTATATATGATAACACGAGAACATTTTAGCAGCCTTAACAGACAATCAAACACTCAACATAGCAAGTTAGCAACCCTGCATAATGAAAACAATAAAATAACTCAACAAGTAAACGGTAAGAAAAAACAAAATAATCATAAGGATAACAACGGGGCATTCACATACCAGTATTACTATGCTAATAGCAGTAAAGGGGTGCGGCGGCCAAGTGAAAACTAGGGTTCTCCGGGCTTGACATGGGAGAAGAGTGGAGCTTTAATATAGTGCAGAAAAAGCCCTTGCACTTTTGAAGAGTTCGTAAATTTACCTCTCAAAACAATTTATTTGTCAATTAACCCTTCTTCTTTATTAACTTGTGCCATCTTGCCAAAATATTTTCTTTATCACTTGATCATTTAAAGAAACCTTTGCTTTCTAAAATAGAAAGTAAACAAAAAATGAAAAATAGTAGTTTTGCTGGTTTATGAGGTACTATGTCACGTCTCCTAAGATTACAATTATGTAAATATACGGATATATAGATTTGTCACCATCCAACTTTTAATTAGTTCATTAACAATGATTCAGAAGTGATTTTCGATAAATATTGATTATAGATTGTTAGAACTAAATTAAGAACTAATTTTTTGCGAATCATGATTGTAGATTCGTAGACCTAAATACATTCGAAGATATCAAGAACAAATGTAAATATTCATGTAGTACATGCTTAGAGGCGAATGTGCAGTAAATAATACAGATTCAGCAAAATCTAGTAAAATTTGCTCAAACTTGTTATATATATTGAGAAGTATATTAAATACTACTGGAGGGGTAGCCCAGGGGTCGCCCCGACCCAACCTGAGCATATATATATATATA